TGACCAGGTCAGCACCAGCCTCTGGCCCCCCAGGGCTGGCTGGCCGGACACGCGATACCACGCTCAGCTCTTACATAAAACAACGTCTCGTGTGTTCTCTTTACTGTTCTGCACTCTTCCTCTATAAAGAGTCATGCCGTTATACAACTATTACCACCCTGCTAGCCACTATATAAGGCATCTACAGACTTTTACAAAGTGGTGGTAGGGCGTTGCGTCCTTTTGGCTCGCAACACGGACACACAGTTTCCGAAATCCACTCGACCAACGCTTCCACGATACGACCATGTCTTCAAAACCACGTGAGTACACGTCATGGGCCTTTCATTTCTTCCCTCCCTTCTTCTCCCATAAATGTGTTAAGCCATATGTGCAGTCACTCTCACGTTGGTTTGTTGAGTAAAAGTGCTAAGTGACAGGAAATGGCAGCGTTCTCACTAACACATTTCTTATTCTTCTGACCTTAGATCGCGTTACTGTGTGACCACGGTATGTGGCCAACAAACATGAATATCGTTCATTAATCAAGCATTTAATTAATTTCCCTCGTTTTTATTAGAGATTTTTATTTTTTCAACTACAACGAATTTAACGCGTTCGTGATTTACTGTCGTTATCATGGACATCATAACAATTTATCTCGTTCTTCTCCTTTGCCCTGATCTGACCGCACTTTCTCTTTCCTTTCCGGTCGGTTGGAAGAGCCATGAGATGACCGCTCGTTTTTCCCGTAATTTGGTTGTTGTTGTTGTTGGGCATAACCGTAAGATCATTACATTGCTCATTGGTAATAAGTTATATCGGCGTTAGAGCGGAGCTTGTAACGCGAAGTTTGTATAAATTCATTATTTTGAGTATAGCGATAATCTTCCCAATATCATAGTGCTCAGGGATGCCTGATATAACCCGGGGTTGCGTAAATCGCCTAATAGATCTACGCTCTGACGTTACGATACTAGGTACAAGTAAAAGTTATTCGTTCGATCGGCAACTTTTATTCGAGTCGGCGTGACCTACAGTACGTCCATTTATTATCTAGGCTTTAAGCTAGAATCGTTATTTACTTATTAATCACGCCCTTCTCACCCTCAAGAAATCGCTTGCATGTTTTGTGTATGATTCGTGATAGATAAATACCCGTAGGGCATGTCGCGAGCGCCTATCACAGATTCGCAGAGTAGAGCGGGTTTTCCCGGCTCGTTCAGTTCATTTAATTTCGAACGGCATTTTGGGTATAGTGAACCCCCCCCCGTCGATGTAGTCTGACATGCATAGCTAGACATGGCTATCTCGGCATTTCAGTATTTCTGTCCCGAAATTTACTTTTTCACGTCAACGTTCATTTGTGCGTACATTTCGTCGCATATCATTAAATGTTGAATTCATTGTGGTAGTTGAAATAATTTTCTATTAATAACATTGCTAATGTATCGCAGTATTGTTATATTGAACGTTAATCTTCGTGTTCTATGTGAGAGCTCACTCTCACTTTTATTCTCATTCACGTTCACTGTCACTGTTTATATTTCTTCTGTATGTGACGACAGTTGGTTCATGTAAACCATTGCGGATCGCCGATGTCGTTTCCCTAATCTACTCTTATGTCCATCAAGCCAGGTCCGTGCGAAACGCTACTGACGTCTCCCTCCCCAATTTTCTTCTTTATCTTTGTGAAAGTAAAAAAAAAAAAATGTAAATGTTAACATTAAAAGCTACAAGTTTATATAGATAAGCAGCTAATAGAACCCTCCCCCTCTGTTGCCTTTCTTTTTCTCTTACTATCTTGGCCCTTAAGTGTATAATCTGGTTCCCCGACTATATATAGCAGCTGGACCGACCATATCTGACACGACACTGAAGGATGACCCTACTGCAGGAATGGTCATCTTAGGACGTCACTGGCAGATCGCTATAGGCCTACGGACCAGGATGTTCGCCAGAGCAATAGGATACAGTGGAAGGGCGCCGCCGACCGGGACGCACGTAGATCCAGCGAAGGACCAGGAACTCGCCAGTGCAGGTACCGGTCGCCCCAGGATGCTATGGAAGGGCGCCGCCTACCTGGACGCCCGCAGATCCAGTCAAACTCCAGGAACTCAACGCAGGTATCAGCTGCCCTGGGATGCCGATGGGGAACGAGATGACCAGCCAGTAAGGACCAGCCAAAGTTGGGTCACCTGTTAAGGCCAATCTACTGTAAGCTATTAGCCCAATAGACCACGTGGCTCTAAGGCAATTTAGAACCACCACACCACCGAAGACTTAGATGACGATTATATCCGACCTCGCCTGACCCTTTCAGTTCGTTCCCAGGAGTCGCAGTGACCAGGTCAGCACCAGCTTCCGGTTCCCCAGGACTGGCTGGACACGCGACACTGCGCTCAGCTCTTACCCTAAGACAACGTCTCGTGTGTTCCCTTTACTGTGTTGTACGACTCCTTAGATAAAGAGTCAAGCCGTGTAACCACTATCAGTGCCTAACCGGTCATAGCCATTGTTT